AAAAAAAAAAAAATACATCGTTCTGTAGCACCACCGCCACTAGGAGGAGACCAGTCCAACATCCCTCTTTTCCAGTCAACCTTATCATCCAAAGTCAAATTCCCTGTAGCCGCTGCTAATGCAGAAACATTCCCATCCGATGCAGAACTGGCAATCTAAGACAACAGAAACAAAATTCAATTAAATTGAGCAAGAAAAATTAACAAAAATAAAAAATAAAAGATAATAAACTCAAAAACAAGACCACTTTTTCCGAGGAGCTGCCATCATTGTTAGCTTGCTTCCATTGATTAAGTCTGCTTTGTCCATCAGAAGGCATAGAAACCATGCCATTTACTGTGGCCTGAGATCTACTTTTCAACATCGGCTCATTTAAATTATTCCGTAGTTGAATAATATCATTGTGTAAAGTTTGGATTTCCATGGCCAGCCTTTCCGCTTCCATCTGCAATTCTACTTCTTTAATATTTGTATGCAAGCCTTTATTAAGCAAAAAACATCAAAAAATAGTTTTGTGAACCAATCAGATAGTTTAAAAGGCCAAGTGTCTCCCAAACTTGATATAAGAAAGAAAAGTTTGCCTTTTGAGCAGCATTACTGGGGGAATTCGACATATTTCGCATCAACTGCGAATACTCCTGTTGTGCCTGCTCAAGTTTTGGGGCCTTCTGAAGGATTGAATTCAAAATTATTAAAGCAGTCTGAGGCAGCTGCTGCCTTATAAGGGCCAAGTTAATTAACCCCTTGTTTACAGCAATCTTCAACTGAAAATTTACAAAGATATCAAAAACACGTTATAAAGATGAAAAACAGTCAGCCAAACTATGGAAGACTAATAAAAATATTTCAGTAAATAACTAAATAAACGGGCAAATTCAGCCTGTGACTGAAAAACTCTGAAAAGAAAAAAATAAAAAACCATATACTTGATCTGCAATCTGTTGGGTAAGGGCTGAGTGACCAACATCACTGCTTTCTGAAGGTCGAATTGTGTCAATAATAGAATTTTCTACAGCACTGGATGCTATTCCTCCAGGTAATGGCTAAAATTAAAACTTTGTTCCTCTCGAAGGAAGTATTTGTCGAAGAGAAAAAGAACTAAAGGTGTTATAGAGAAAGGTAACTAAGACCACTTCCACAACTGGCTGTCAACAGTGACCTTTTTGAAGAGGAAAAAGCTTTCTGCCTCAGCCATACTCTGCAGAGCCAAAAAAATTAGACAATAAGAAGTCCCAATCACCTCCATATCGGGCGACTGATACATACCACTGACCGACCAAACAGAAAAATTTTCTTATTATCTTTTTGTTCAAAATCTTCAGCTTAACGTCCCCTTCCCCCGGCAAAAAGTTTAAGCAAAAGTTTGTGATGCCTGGAAAAACCACCTTTACGGGTTCCCCCCATCCACTTGTCTGCTGTGAACCGCCCCACCGATCACTGCCATCATTTGCCGTATTTACCGCATGCGCTGATTGCGAGTCGGTCCAGCCAGCTGCCGTGGCTGGGGGAGAAGTATTAGTACTAACTGGGCCTGAAGAGACTGGTATGTTGCTCCAGTCACCACCTGTAGGTGCCGCACAAGGAACATGGGAGTAATCTTCCTGTTCAGCATCTTTCCACCGTCTAATTTCCTGAAACAAATCACATATGGCAAATAGCGAAAGAATGAGCAAGCCAATGAATATAAAATGAAAACGTACGACTTGTTGGGCATTAGGATCTCCCCACACTGAAGTACCCGTATCGCGCTGCACCTTTTTCTGTTTTGGATTTGGATCGTGCCACATCATATCGTTATTCATTTCAGTTGGCTGCGGAGCGACCCATGGTCCTGGCGTCTGAGGATTTGGATCATACTTAAAAGACGGGATTCAAGAAAATCTCATTACAAAGAGCCCTGCTTTTTGACTCGCGAAAGAAAATTTTGCGCTGCCGATAAAAATTTGAGGGTTTTACCTGATCTGACGGTGTTGACAGGGGCGGTTGCGGTTGCCCCCATGAAGCTCCCGGAATACCAGCAGGCACAATAGTGGTTGGATGAGGCTGCATTACATTTGTCCAATGAGCAGTACCCGTAGGATCATGCCTATGTTGTGCCCATTCTGGAGCGGCTGCATGCGGTGCAGGAGGCCACTGCGCTGTAGCGCCCCACCTTGAACCTGCAGCAACTGCAGCAGCCGTGTTACCCCAGTCTCCTTTTTGATCAGCATGTAAAGATGGTCCAGTTCCTGTATCCCATGGTGTTTGCTGAAGAAATTAAATGCTCTGTTTAAAATACTTCAAATTTTAACTTAAAGTACATTCACTGTATAATAAGATATAGTTATAACTTTATGAGAATAAAAAAAGAATCAAAGAACGGTTTTTAAAAAAATACGAAATTAGGTATACACAAACTTGGTCAACTTTTAATCCACCCCATGCTTGAGGCTGCTGATCATACCGACCATTGATAGTTTGTCCCCTTAAGGGAACCATATTTTTCTTCGCTTGTTCTGCGTAAGTACCATTAGGAGAATTCGCAGCTGCGTTCCACTGAAAAAAATTAGGCTGCTTCGAATACAAAGACTTTTATGGTATGTACTACCCATTTAAATTTTTGACTATGAAATCTGAAAAAAATGAATAAAAATGATAATAAGTAAAAATTTGCCTGCAACTGCCAACCTCCAGGTTGATTTGGAGGTAATCCCCATTGTGACTGAACAGATGGAGGGGGATTCCATTGCCCAACAGATGCTTGCATGGCTTGATGATCAAGCCATGTCCTCGTGCCGCGAGAATCAGGAATTCGGGCACCACTATATGTTGGCTGCCCATTATTACCACGACCCATATCAGTCCAAACTGGTGCTTGTGGAACGCTCTTAAAAAAAAAAAAAAAACTTGTCTTCTCTTTGCAGCAAATTCATACAGTTAAAAGCTAACAAATAAAACCTAAGAGCGAAGAAAATGTAATTTAACTAATCAAAAAGAAGAAAAAAATAAAAAAACACTTACGTTCCAAGGATTCATTGCTATTGTTCCAGCTTTTTCGTCTACGCCCCACATCGCTTGCAGGAAAAAAAATGAGTATAAAAGTGGGGTGTCAAACCCTAAGATGGCTCCTCACAACGCCACCTTTCTGAAAAAAAAGAAAGCATCAAAATTAAATTTCCGAATAAAAAGAACTTTTTTTAAAAAAATTCCAAAAAAAAAAAAAAAAAAAAATAAAAAAAAAAACCCCAAAAAAAAAAAAAAAAAAAAAAAAACTAAAAAAAAAAAAAAAAAAAAAAAAAAAAAAAAAAAAAGAGAAAACGATACATAAGCGAAATTGACAATAAAATGAGAAAGAATTTCAAGGCAACGTAATAATACGTCAGAGCAAAAGAAATGGAAGAAAAGTCACTACAAATAACAAATATTATCTTTTAACTTATTTTCGTACATCATTTTAAGCAAGCTATCAACAATAATATATCTAATCTGTTCGCCTCTTTTCTCACTTTGTTGTTCTGTAAAGTAGAACAAAAAACTACTTTACAGCAAATATAGAAGTTGGTAATTCCACTTTTCAAATCGTAGAAGAAACAAAAAAAAAAATATGAAAAACGACTTGAAAAAAGAAATGGCCGGTACCAAAAAGTGAGAAAAAAAAAGGGAACAAAATAAAATGGGTATTTTTCATATCAGCTATTATTTACTCAGTGAATGCACAAAAAATTTAACACAAAAATAGTTTCTGTTTTTTTTTTTTTCTTCTATTGGCACCAAAAGTATATTTGCTCAATTAAAAAAAAAATCTCTTTTTTTTTAAAGGTTCAAAATATAGCAATATCAACAAAAACAAAAACAAAAACAAAAACAAAAAAACGATTGCTTCGACGAAAAGTACCATAGACAACCGTGTGGAATGTTGAACATTTGATGAAAGCAACAAAAACAAACG